TATGGCCATGGAAGCCAATGCCAACACTCCCTTATTCCTGTTATTCAGAGTTGAATCTACTGAATAAGATTGAGGAGGAGGGAGGCAAGGGAAGAGATAGATGGATAAGAGGTTGAAATAGCCCCCCTCCCTTTCTAATACTCTCATCCCTACCCACCTCAGCCTTACCCCTCCCTAGTCTATATCCTCCTCTGCCTTCATATCTCATGTGAACTCTGAACCCTTCCCCCTGCCCCACTATTGTTAAACTTCCCTTGGTCCTAGATCTCTTCACCTCCTCCTCTTTCTGTCCTTTGGGGCTAATAGAAACCTGGCTTTTTCTGGAAGACATTGCATCCTTGCCCATCCATCCTTGGCCAGTTATCTAGAACTGAATGCTCCTTCTTTCATGTTCCCTGACATACTGGGACAGAAGGAAAAATAAATGCATGAGGCTGGCATTTAAAGATCTTTACAATTTGGCTCCCGTCATCACACACTATTTTCTCTCCTTTGAAGTTCATTCCATCTTTCTCCACCACCCAGTCCAGATTCTTGTCTAAATCACCTACTGTCCCCCAGGTCATTTCCCCTCCTTTCTCAATGAGTTCAGTGACTGGACTTCCTCTCCATCTCAACCTCACCCTTCGTAGTAGGGGACACAGTATGGATCCTCACATACCCTCAAAGATCCTGCCTTTCCAGTTCATTAGCTTCTTTGATTCCCATGACTTGCATCTTCATACTATCCGGGCCACCTGGGTAGTGAGATCCATCCCTGTAGGGATATGGTCATCTCTATAGGGATGGGTCTCCCTATCCCCTATCATTGTGCTAACTTCACGACCATACATCACTCACCACTCATCTCTTTTCAGTCCCTTGCAGTCTAGCTTCCTACCTCACCACTTGACCAGCACTGCTCTCTCTAACGTTATCAGTGCTCTCTTAATTGTTATATCAAATATCTTTTTCTCAGTTTTCTTCTCCTTGACCTCTCCTAAGATTCCACTCTCTAAGAACCTCTGTGATAGAAGTAATATTCTACGGCCCTTCCCACACAGGCTAGACTAGTTTTTCCTCCAAATATATTGAAACTGTCCTTTAAGGCAGCTGATAGTGTAGTGGATAGAGCATTGGGCCTGCAGTCAGGAAGCCCCAAGTTCAAATTTGGCCTCAGCTACTTACTAGGTATGTAAACCTCTGTCTGCCTCAGTTTCCTCAACTGTAAAATAGGAATAATGATAGCTCCTACCTCACAGGGTTGTTGTGAGGATCAAATGAGGTAACATTTGTAAAAGCATTTAGCACAGTGCCTGGCACATAATAGGAGTTACATAAATGCTCATTCCCTTCCCCCAAAGACTTACGTGGTTTTATGGACTATGGTTCAGAATGCTGTATAGCTTCCTGGAGGTCTAAGTCCAAAAAAAAAAACCCTAGGATATGAGGAATCAGCTGCTCTTACTTCAGGCTTCTGAAGAACCCAACTGAATCAATGCCATATCCTTGTTGAATACCCTTTCCATGACATGGTTAAGTAAACTTCTTTTTGTCAACTCTCCTATTAGTGAATTTCTCATTTCATTATAATCTAGAATTTGAACCACTAACGTCCTTCCATCTCATCCTCTTCTTCAGTCCTCTTCAGCCTTTTCTTCATCACCATGAGCCCCCATCCCTCTACTGCTCCTCATTTATCACTTCTGCTCGTCTCACCTTCTTGTCTTTTCAATTTTGATTCCAATAGTTGACCAGTTCAACTGTACACTGTCGTCCACCCTCGAGTTCCTGGCCCTCCTTGTCATATCACCAGTCATGCCTTGCCCAAATCCAAACCTCAGTTGCCCCCATTATTTGCCTTCTCTAGAGCTGCTTGAGTGTTACTGAGCACAGTAGCACTGACAAGGCCCGTTATAATGTTATCTGCTCTCAAGAGCTTTACTGCTGAAAAGATGGCTGGTTATCTTTTTATTTCTCCTTGACTTTCTGTCATACTCTCTCCAATGGCAGCTCTAAACCTTCTCTTCTTTCTGCAAGATCCCTACACCTCATCCCCTGCCCCTCAGAAGAGTATTCCATCTTCTTCCTTACTGAGAAAATAGAGACTACTGAGGTGAGCTCCTTCTTACCACTCTATTCGTCAAAATCCCTCTGCCTTGGCACCTCTTCTCTCCTTCTTTGTTCCAGTCTTCTTGCCAAGATGAGCCCTTCTACTTGCGCCCTTGATTCCAAACTGTCCTGTCTCATCCAGGAGCATCCTGCTCCCTCTTCCTCTCCTTTTTCAACTCTCCTAATCCAATGGCTCCTTTCCTGCTGTCTACACATACACCTAGGTCTCCTCTAGCCTTAAAAAAATCTTTTTGACCCCATCATTCCCTCATGCTATCATCCTACATCTCTTCTCCATCTCACAGCTAAACTTCTAGAGTGGGCTGTCTACACCATTTCCTCACTCACCGCTTATCTCTTTTCTATCCCTTGCAGTCTGGCTTCCTACCTCACCACTTGACCAACACCGTTCTCTCTAATGTTGTCAGAGCTCTCTTAATTGTTACATCAAATATCTTCTTCTCAGTCTTCTTCTCCTTGACTTCACCAGCTCCTGCAGGACACTCTTCTTCTGTGGCTTCTATGACGTGTTCTCTTTCATTCTTCCCTTACTTGTCTGACCACGCCTCGTCAGTCTTCTCTGTGGGATTATGATCCATTTCCCATTTACTGAACATGTGTTCTCCAAGACTCCATTTCTTCTCTCCCTCTACACTTTCCCTTTTGGTGATCTCATCCACTCTCATGGATTCAATTATTTTTTCTATACAGGTGACTTCCAAATCTAGATTATCTAGCCTTAACTTTTCTTCTGAACTATACCAGTTCAGGCCCTCAATCACCTCTGGCCTGAACTATTGCAATATAGTCTTTTAACCCTTCTCAGCCAGTACAAAGAACTATGGAGTTTGGAGGCAGATCGAAGCATACTATTTGCTATTTTTTTTTCTTTTGTTGAGTTTTATTTCCCTCTTTCTGGTGGTTCCTCCTATTGGTTCTAATTCTTACTCACAACATCACTAATGTGAAAATATGTTTAATAGGAATGTATATGTATAGCCTATATCAGATTGTGTTCTGTCTTAGGAAGAGAGGTGGGGAGGGAGGGGGAGAAAAATTTAAAACTCAAAAGCTTTATGGAAGTGATTGTTAATAATTCAAAATAAATTAATAAAAAAAGAAATATAGTCTTAACTGGCCTTCTTGTTTCTAGTCTCTCCCCTTTGTTTACTGTCAATAAACATTTATTAGGCCCCTACACTGTGCTGTCATCCTCTACACAGTTGCCAAACCAATATTACTAAAACATATGTCTTTCTTTGTCATTCTCCAGCTCAAAAATCTTTAGTGGCTCCCTATTACCTCTAAGATTAAAATGCAAATTAGACAGCCTGACATTTAAAGCCCTTGAAAGTCTGGCTCCCACCTACTTTTCCAGACATTTCATATTACTCTCCTTCATATACTTCTTCCAGTCCAACTGGCCTACTAATTATCCCTCAAACATTCTGTGCCTCTTTATAGGTTTTCCTATATGTAGGGGATAGACTCCTGCCTTATCTCTTAAATCAAGCCCTATCTATTCCCACTCATTATGTAGCCTAGACAGGTCTGGGAGAATGTTGATTCCTCCCTATTGTTAAGACAAGTGATAGGGAAATTGAAGTCTCCTTGACCAGGATCTAGTAACAGGGGTCATGTACTGAAAGAACCTCATTTTAATATGGGCCACTTCCCAGAGTTGCTTGGCATCCTTTGGGAACACCTACTCTTCAAAGGGCATATAAGGCTGTACCCCCCGAAATCCATTTGAGCCAATTCTGAACTGACTCCCTTGGGGGGGCCCAGTTTTGGACTGAACTCCCATGCAATGCAGATCAAGCCAGCTTGAAATTAAACTGTGAAGACATGCAAAAAAAAAAAAATCAAGCCCTAGCTTCTTTCAAGGCTTAGCTCAGGGACCAGATCCTACATGTAGTCCTTCCTTCATGTGGTTAGCTGTTAGTGGTCTCATCTTTCTGAAATTACCTTAGATTTACTTATCTGTGTACATATTGGATCCCCCTTCTCCCTCCCCAGTAGAATGTAAACTCCCTGGTTACAGGGACTGTTTATTTTTCTTTACACCCTCCCCCACCCCGTTCAAAAGAGAAAAGCCCCTGTCAGAAGAATGAGTTTCCCAGATCCCCAACCCTAATAGGGACTAGGGAGTAGAAAGGAGAATGTATGTGTTTGGGGAGGGGAGAAATGAGGGCAAGGGCAAGGGTGGGGGAGGTCTTGTGCTAACAAGTGTCAAAAGCTTCCACCTCCTGCACATCCTGTCAGCTATGGGCAGTCAGGCAGGGACTGACTGGGCACCTGTCATCTCTGGTCTGTTAGATCTCCCATGGCGTAGGGTGTCCCCATGATATTCCAAACATTATAAAATCTGGCCAAACACCCAGTTTTGCTTCCTAGAACCCCTCATAGCCAGATCTGAGCTCTCTTCCTCCCAACAATATTTTACAACTACTAGGGTGGGGGGGAGATAAGAAAGCAAAGCATAGAGTTTCATTGGTTTGTGAGGGATGGCAGTGGTCAAGAATTTGGATGTAAGGCAGACAGCTCCTCAGAGAGAGGAGACAACATCCAAGTGGGATTCCAGGAGGAAAAAATAGAATGCCATTTCAGAGACTGTAAAAGCTGTGTCTGGTTCCCTCTCGGTGTGGCAGTCACCCTGCCCCACTTACTGTTCCCCCCCCCCCATTGTTTTTCCTCTCTCTGGAGAAGAGTAGGGAGCTGAGGCAAAGGAAGCCCACTCAGGCCTCAGCAGCTTCTGTGCCTCTTGAATGAGATAAACCTTGGGGAAATGAGTTGCACAACAGTATGCAAATGAGGTGACTTTCTCTTTGAGTCAACAGCTCTGGCACTTTTTATTCATAGCTCCCACCCCGCCCCCTGCCAACTATGGTCCCACGCACCCCCTCCCTCTCCCATGCATGTCAGCTCACGAGTATGTCCATGCACGCACCTGCTCCCACATGCATGGTGGTGAAAAAGGACCAGGCTTAGGGAAAGGACAGGGGTTGGTGGGGTATTTTTTTTGTTTGTTTTTTGTTTTAATATATATCTGGGAAAATATTCAACCAAGAGATAGGAGGGAAAGACGTCTAGGAGGAGAGACAGACGCTCAGGAGGAGGGACAGAGAGAAAGGGGAGAGGCTGGGCAGTGGTGTCTTCCAACGGGTGAGTTGAAGCTATGTCCCCACCTACCCTCCCCAAAGTGAGTGAGGAGTTGGGGGCAAAGTTGGCACAGGAGGTGGTGAGACAGGCATGATGGCGCCCATCCCTGAGGCAGGCAGGGCCCAGACCTCATTGGCACAAATGGTTCTCTTCCCCGGAGAGAGCTGGGGGGGTATTACAAACACCAAGTCAAGATGACAACCCTAAGTGGAATGGGAGAGGATGGTGGTCTCAATGAGGCCTGGAGCCTCTCCTCAGAGCAATGGGGACTTGGAGATGGAGTTAATAACACAAGAGGCAGACACAGAGCAGCAGCGAGCAGGGACTCCAGAAGGGAGAAGCTGAGGTCAGTATGGGGCAATGCCCGTAGGGTGAGGGCACCGTCCCAATGCCAGCCAAGGCCCTGGCCTCTTTCCTTGCTAAGCCTGGGCCAGGGAAATAGGACTGGTCTCCAGGGCAAGAATAGGGAAAACAGTTTTTTGGTTTCCAGAAGAGACAGGGAACAGCTTACCATGGGTACCATACCACAGAGGCATGGAGTTAAGGGAGTGGGGAGAGGAAAGAGATTCCTCTTGTTTAGGCTTGGCAAGAGTAAAGTGTACTGGTGACTGGAAGCAAAGGTCATGGGAGAGGGGTCAGAGGCTGAAGCATGGGGGTGGACAGATGGGCCCCAAGAAAGGGAGAGGTTCCCATCTTTCTCCTCCCGCAAGTGTTTGAGGCATTAGGCTTAGACAGCCCCTCCCCTCCCCCGGGGATCTGTGATCATGAACTTGATGCTGGTTACTCACTCACACCCAGGACCCTTCCCCACCAATATGAATGGGACAGGGCTACAAGCTCCATCCTTTACCCCGGAACTCCTAACAAAGCTGCCAAGAAACTGGAGAATGAGGAGGGAGCTGGATCTAGGGCTCAAGAGAGGAGATAGGTCTCATAGAAAGAATGTTCTGTGCATTTCTCAATCCAGGAGGAACCCTTCTTCTCCACCCTTCCCAGTTCCTCAAGAGTAGATGGGAGGGGGGAAATGCCAACCCTATTAAGACTTTCGCTTATGACCTGGGGCTAAAAGGGTTAATGAACTTTGGGGAGAAAACACCCTAAAGTAAAGAAGGTAAACAGCCTAGAGAAGGGCACTTACCTCATTCCCTCAGGTGACCCACCTCCTCCCCCGCAAAGCAGGATAATACTCTGCACTCGGGTGCTGAACCCCTCCCCGCTCCCCCCACTTCCCAGGAGGTGAGATGATATCCCACAAGAGTGAGCAAAGGCATCGCAGAAGGGCAGGACTCTCCCCCTAGAAGTGAGACACCCACCCCAAGAAGGGTCATTTCCCCTCTCAGGAAGTGAGATCACACTCCACAGAGTAGTTGGACAATACTCTATACCTATACTCTTCTAAAAAAGAGTGAAGTAAAGGCATCCCAGAAGGGTGAGATGTCCCCCAGAGGTGAGGTAACCTCCTCTGGGGTGAGGATAATCCCAGCCCGCCCCTCCAGGTGAGATACCCTCCCCCTAGAGGGAAAGCTATTGCTCCTTAGGTGAGGTGATTACCTATGTGGGGTGACAATGCCCCCAGGAGATGAGACACCCCACTCTTCTCCTAGCTCTCCAGGTTGGCCAGTATTTGCCCTCTTTCCTTACCCTGAAACCTATCTCCTCCCAGCCCCTGCCCTCCAGCCTCAGCGGTTATAGACACCCCTTCCCCAGCCCTCTAGCTCATTCTTGTTTCTGCCCAGCATAGCCCCACCCCCTTCTGGACAATACTGGGGTTTGGTGGGGCCCCGGGGTGTGGCCCGATTTCGGTTGTCGGGCAGCTCCTCCTCTTCTTCATCTTCCTCCTCCCAGGAACCGTGTCGGGCAGGTGGAGAGCTGCCCCCAGCAGGGTCTCCAGGCCCTGGGCCCTCAGAGGGATCAGTCTCCATGTCAACACAAGAGTCCCCCAGCTCAATGTAGGCAGAGTTACGGTTGCCTGAGGCGTCAGCATCAAAAGTGTCCTGGCGGGACAGTGCCCGAAGAGTGCCTGCCCGGCCTGGAGGGTGACTGCCGGTGTGGAGGCCCTGGGACTGGCCCAGCTCACCCTGGTACTCATGTAAGCTGGCTCGCTCTCCCACTGCCCGCTCAGACGGCTGATCCCCAGGCACACGGTAGGCTCCCTGGTTAGCAGTAAGGCGGCACACACCATGCAGAACAGGCAAGAGGTGAGAAAAACACAAAAGCAAGGAAAAGTTAGTGGCCACACCAAAGCACCCAGATTGGCAGAGGGGCACCCCACCAACTCTCCCACCAGCAGGGATGGAGCGGTGACTGGGCTGAAGGAGGCAGGTCTTCCTTATGGGACTCTCCAGGAAAGGTTGGGCACATCTGCTTGGCACTGGACTGTTGGTTAGCAGTGGGTTCAGTTAAAGAGGACATTCTATATTCCTTAAGGATAGGATGTCGTAGTGAAGACCGGCTAGGCAAAACCCCAAGATTCTAAACCTTGGGAAGAGTGTCTAGAGGCTGTTCCTAGGGATTTGCCCCTTTTGCCAGATGGGAAGGGGGGATGCCCAACCTGGATTTCTATCATTGATGAGGTGTTTATAATTATTCATCAATGTCACAAATAAACTAAGTGAATTCATGGGCATGAATAAATAGCCAGTGAGCTAGTGAAATCAAGCTTGGTTACCATGAAAAATCGTTAATGCTCTCTTAGCTCTACCCAGCATTAATGTCCCATTCGTGTTAATAATCATTAAAAAAGATCTCATTAGAATCACCACTCATTAACCCTTAGTTGGGGTTAATAATTGCTCCAGTTAGGGTGACTAATTGCCCCATCTTTACAACTACAATCTAATGAGCTACTTAGGAATGCTTGTTTCTCCTTAAGGGACCAAAGAATGATCTGGGCTCTTTTACTCCACACCCCTAGGGCTACAAGTCCACTTCTACCGGGCCCCACATCACATTCCCAACAACATCCCCCCCATCACAGAGCCCCCATGCAATTCATATCCATTCACATGCTAGGATTAAGGGTCACAAGTTCATAAGAAAGCCAAGGATCTCAAAACATGAGGTTGGGAAGGTTCTGATGCTTTTTCTCAATTGGAAAGGAATGAAGATCAGGTGCTCGGGCACCCAGTATTCTGTTGACATAGAGGTGCTGTGCTGTGGCTGAGAAGGGATATGGCCCTAACAAGGGGATCCCATAAATTAGGGATAGCTTTCATGTTCTGAGGAACTGAAGGTGAATTCTCAGGAAAGCTAGAGGTAAGGGATACAATCCAGGGGAGAAAGGGATGGCATAGTGTCAGTTCATGGAATTCATCAATTCAGGGATCCCAGGGTCCCTCTCTTGCAAAGGTTCTTAATTTTTTTCTGTCATGGATCCCCTTGGGCTATTTGTTGAAGTCTATGGACCCCTGACATTTTTTTAAAAATTGATGGACCAAAAAGAAAAAAAATGGGGCAGCTAGGTGGTGCAGTGGATAGAGCTCTGGTCTTGGAGTCAGGAGGACCTGAGTTCAAATGCAGCCTCAGACACTTGACTGTGTGACCTTGGGCAAGTCACTTAACCCCAATTGCTTCACCAAAAAGCAAAAAAAAAAAAATTGATGGAATTACTCAATTTCATTTAGAGCTTAGTGGAAATAAAAATACATTTTCTCCCCACTTCCAAGTCCAGAGACATCTTGAAATCTATCCATGGACCCCCAAGTTAGGAATTCCTGTTCCATTGTATCTCTGAGGATCCTACTGTATGGTCTCTCTGGGTCCTGGGGACCCCCTGTGGAAGATTCTATTTCTATTTAATGTCTCTCAGAAGTGTTTTTCCAATGAGATTCCTGCCTGAAGACTTCCTTTACTAGGTAATGGTGCCAGAGGGTAGAATTGGGCAACCAAATCAAGTCACATTCCCTCTCTGGGACTCAATGCCCTCCTCCATAGTGCGTGAGGCCCAGTGATATAGTGGAAAAACAATGGGTTTGAAGTCAGAGAGAGCCTGGATTTGAATCTCATTTCCTCGGGTAAGATGCAACATCACTGGAACTTGGGTTCCTCATTGGTAAAATGAGACAGCTGGATTAAATGATCTCTAAAGTCCTTTCCAACATGAAACCCTATGATTCGATGAACTCTATGGTCCTTTTCTGACTTTGGATGGTTCCATGTTCCAAAGTGGCCTAGGGGTAGATACCAAGGTCAGGAATATAACCCAGGAATTAGCTTACTTGGTGGGCCATAACTAAACAAAGATCACAAAGACAACAGCATCTGCTTACCACTTTTTTACAAAATAAAATTCTCCCTACCCCCATGTCCACTGCTCTCAGATCCCACATTGCTGCTGGAATGGGTGGGTAGCTGGTAGATGCCCACTAGAGAGCATGCTCTTGCAGTGGGGAAGCACCAGTGCTTGGTTGGGAGGCCTCCTGCCCACCCCAAAAGCTGAGATTGCGCTTGAGGGAGGTGAGCACCTGTACCTGGAGGTTGGAAACTGGGGCAGGGCTGGCAGCCAGGGCTGCAGTGGCCATGGTACGGTTGAGCAGCGGGTTGGGCGGTGTGCTACTAGGTGGGTGGGTAGCTTTCCAATAGGCCTCCAGGTACTCTGCTAGATGCTCACAGGCATCTTCCAATTGGTTCTCATCCAGGATGATGTCAAACATTTCCTATAGATGAGAGAAGGAGTTGGTTAGTATTAGCTGGGAGTGGAGCCTAGGAAGAAAGAGCTTAGAAATAGGGCTAATCCAAACCCATCACTTTACAGGTAAGGAAACTGAGGCTCCAACAGATCAAATGACTTCCCTAAGGTCACACAGATAGTAAATAACATAGCTTGGATTGGAGCCTAAGCCCTGCTCCAAAGTTACTGATCTTTTTACCACACCATGTTGGTGTGACCAAAGGATCGGGCATGGTGGGGAAAGGTTGGGGGTGGGGAGTGGGAATAGGGTAAGGGAAAAGGACAAAGAAGACGGTCCATGGTGAGCCCAGAGGGAGAAACCCAAGTGAGCACCTACTGACTATTCTGACTAGAAGAAGCATCCTGTGCCTATCAAGTCAAGTTATTAAGCTCCTACTATGTGCCAAGGCCTGAGACAATCTCTGGGGATATAATGAAAGGCAAAAACAGTCCCTGCTTTTGAGGAGCTCACAAAACATGCAAACAACTACTAGATACAAGATAAATTGGAGATAATCTCAGAGGGAAGGCATAGGTCTTAAAGAGAACCAGGAAAGGCTTCTTGCAGAAGGTAGACCCATAGTCAGTCTAATTGGTAGCCATCCCCAAAGGATATCAAAATACTTTGCATATCTGGGCTACTGTGACTTCCCAGAAAGACTAATCCTTCCATCCAAACCTCTGCCTCCTATCTACTTCCTCCATTGGGTGGGGGGGGAGGGGGAGAGGAGAGAAGTAATACTCACAGGTGGGCACTGTGCCAATTTTTCTGATGCTGCTATCTGAACATTGAGGTGTTTGGATTGAGACTTTCCTCGGGACTTAATGAGGCGCTGAAGTACCTATATTTGGGGATGGGAGGAAAGTAAGGAAAGAGAAACAGGAGGTGAGGCAGGCCATAGGGGAGGAAGTTCCTAGGGGTTAGGTACCCTGATTGGAAGGAATGCCAGGTACTTGAGAGAGAGGCCAGAATTAGGACGAGAGAAGAAGGGTGGGGGAAGGGAATAAGCATTTATATCACACCTACTATGTGCCAGGAACCATGCTAAGTTCTTACAAATAGTTCTTATCAAATATAAAAATGATGCTCATTAAATCTTATGATTGAGAGGGAAAGAAAGAGATTTTTTTTTTTCAATACCCACTTCCACTCCTAGCCTCTAGCCACAGCTGGATAAGACTCTTAAGAAGTCACGATCTTTCGGCCAATTGATCTAGAGTCTCACACCAATCCTCATCTGGAAGCTATTGCTTGGGATTAACAAATTCCTCTTACTGTGGCTGTAACCCCCTTCCCTGCGGTATTCTCCAATGCAATGAGAAACAGCAAAGTCCTCATCTTCTTGTGATGATGACAAACCTTCAAGGACTTTCAGGATGTAATTAAGCTGCCTTCTCACTTTATCTTTTTCAGGCTGACGCACCCACCACCTCTAACATTGATTTAGGTTTCACTTTCCACTTCTCCACCTTCTCCCTAGGTCAGCCATTTTGAACTATATTCCATAATTATGAATCATCTACTGTGTGCAAAACACTCTGCTAGGCTCTGGAGGAGACACAACTATCTGAGAAAAAAAAACCAACAATATTCCTGTCCTCATGGAGCTTACAGTTTAATTGGTGACTATGACACATACATCTACCACTGTATTGAAACCCCTTTAAGAAGTAGAGATGAAAATAAGGAGGTAAGGGCAATGTTTGAAGTGCACTCTCATATGAACTGATTCAAAAAATGAAAAATACATAATATACACTCAATTTGGTACAGAAATCTATTTTACCCAACAAGGAAACAGGATGAGTAGTAGAAAGGGGTAAGGGTTATAAGAAGGAAGATTGATAGAGGATCTCTACCTTCCATTTGGACAGAAAGGAATATTACTATTTTGCAGGATATCTTGTTTTGTTTTCTTTTTTATTAATTTATTTTGATTTATCAACAACCACTTCCATAAACTTTTGAGTTTTAAATTTTTCTCCTCCTCCCTCCCAACCTCCTTCCCCAAGACAGCAAACAATCTGATATAGGCTATGCATATACATTCCTGCTAAACATAGCAGGATATCTTGTTTTAAGATAACCATTTGCTAGAAACTTTTCTGTGTTTCTTGATGATTTACAACTTGATCTAATTCTGTTATCTTTGAAATGTAAATCTTACAAGCATAGCTTTGAAATGTAAATCTTTGCCTTTCCTTTTTGGACTGATTGTATCTTCCTTTTTCTTTGATATAACTAGAAACTATAAACCTTGGGAAAATTTTTATTTTGTTCTCATTGGCCATTTTTAGAAACCCTGAGTCTATGCTCTGAGAATATATAATAAAGATATAAAAAAATTCCTCTAAGACAAACATCTATGAGGAACAGGCCAAGGAGTCGATGGGGGAACTAAACCAGCATTACTTGTCCTTTCCCTTTTTACTGAAAGCCAGACAAGAGATAACAGATTGAGGGTGGGATGGAAGGCAGTTAACAAGGACTTCTCTGGTGCTAGTTGAGTGGAAGACACTGGGATGGAGAAGGGAGGGAAGGCCAAGATGTCTCTGTCCCTAGAATCTCTTACCTGCCTGAGCTATGGGTAGGGACTTCCTGCCTGGCAGGGCAGGTCTAGGAATTTCCTAGGATGACCAATGGAGAGTGGAGCTGGGATGAGGGGGAACACACCTTAGGGGAGGTAATCTTGATGTAAACGATAATAGGGGCCAACGATGTCTTGGCCAGCTGGGCAGGGTGATTGATGGTATCAGCATCCAGGGCAACCAGCTGTAGGGTCCGGGCCAGCTCAAAGATCCGTTCAATCTCACTCTGTACCTCAGCTAAGAGATCAGGGAGACCGTAAAAGGAAGGTTAAAGGGAATGTACAGGGACTGAGTGAGGAGACATGAACACTGGGGAAGGAGACATAGGCTTTGATAGGGAACAGACCACCTTTTGTAGCTATTTAAAGTTTACAAAACTCTTTTCCCAAAACAACCTTGTGACTGATAATGCCATTATTATTATCCCCATTTTATAGATGAAGAAACTAAATCTCAAAGAAACTAAGTGACTTGCCCATAGTATATGAGCTTTGACATGAATCCTTAAATTCAGTTTTGACTCCAAGCACAGGACTCTTTGATCAAAGAAGACATATAAACCATGAAGGAAGGCCATAGAATGTGAGGGTGTGGATGTGAAGAATGAGCGTAGGGAGAGAGAAAGAAAGAGAGAGAGAGATTGAGAGAGAGAGAGAGATTAAGAGAGGGAGAGAGATTAAGAGAGAGAGAGAGAGAGAGAGAGATATTGAGAGACAGATTGAGAGAGCGAGCGCTTGGGGAAGGGAACCAGGGACTGTGGTAGGGGGAGGAGCAGAAAGATTGAGGATCAGATGGGAGTGTCCAGACACTGGACGGAAAAGGCAGCTCTGATGTAGAGATGAGCTATTGACCTACCTCAGACAAGGTGGGTTGGGTAGCAAAGCTGGCATCTAGTGTCTTAGAAGCAGGCATAAAGCCAGTACACTGGAGGGATAGTGGGGGAAACAGGATCCACCTCCAACTCTGACTGCAAGCCCTGTTCCACTGCTGTTCCCACTGAATCCTTCTGGACCCTGCTGTCTACGTCAGGCAGATGACCCCCCTCTCCTTACCTAGACTGGAGCGAGTGTTGGAGCGTTCAACAATGATGTGTTTGCTAGGGTTGTTGAGGACAGAACGTTTGGCAAGAGAGATGTCAGCTGTTACTCGAGTGATGGAGATCCTGGGGGCAGGGAAAGAGGAAGTGGTCAGTAGTTTGCCCTCCTTTCTGCTCCTTCCTCCCCTCTCCCAAACTCTAGGTCCTTCCACGAAACTTCTCTTCCCCTGGTTAACCTTCCACTCCTGGACCGGGTTACTCAGCAGTCTTAACCCTCCCCAGAGTCAGTCAAAGACCAGGTGGTGTTTGAGGATAGGGCAAGAACACGCAGGAGCTCACCTGCCATCAAATCGATGCTTCAAGAAATCAAATAAAGCCTTCTGCATCATATCTGTGACCTGGGGAAGGGAAGGAAATAGGAACAAGGGCAACTAAAGGGAGAGAGAGGATTTTAGCTGCTGCCCTGGCTCTCTCCTGCCTGACTCCTGACAGTTCTTAAAAAGGTTAGATGCCCATTTGAAAAAGTGCTCCAAATCACTAATAGTTAGAAAAATTAAAACCAAACCAACTCACAGGTTCCACATCAGATTGACAGATGATAGAAATGTAAAATTACAAAGTGGGAGGAGGGGCTGCAGGGAAAATAGACATATTAAGCATACTCTTGGTGGAGCTGTGAATTGGTCCAATTATTCTGGAAAGCAATATGGAACAATGTCCTCAAACTCACTAAACTGTGCATACACTTTGACCTAGCCATACTATTAACCAGGCATATAGCCTAAAGGGATCAAAGGAAAAAGAAAGGGGCTCATATATACACAAATATTTATAGCAGCTATTTTTATAAGGGCAAAGAACCAGAAACTAAGGGAATACCCATCAATTGGGGAGTGGTTCAACAAATTATGGCATAGGGACATAATAGAATACTATTTTATTCTACTTCTACATGGTAATAATACATAGTAAGTACAGAATACTATTGTATTCATAATATATGATGAAAAGGATGGTTTCAGAGAAGCTTTCTTCGTGTTCAGTTGTTTCAGACTCCTCGTGACCCCATTTGGGGTTTTCTTGTCAAAGATACTGGAATGGTTTGCCATTTCTTTCTCTAGCTCATTTTGCAGATGAGGAAACTGAGGCAAACAGGGTTAAGTGACTTGCCCAGGGTCACACAGCTAGTAAGTATCTGAGGTTGGATTTGAACTCAGAAAGATGAGTCTTCCTGACTTCAGGCCTGGTTCTCTATCCACTGTGCCACTGCCCTCAGAGAAGCCTGGGAAGACTTATATAAATTAATTTAAAGTGAACGGGCCAGAAGAACAATTTGCACAGTAACAACACTGTTAAGACAAACAACTTTAAATACTTAAGAGCTCTGATCAATGCAAAGACCAGTCACAACTCTAGAGGATTGAAAATGAAGCATGCTACCCCTACCCATCTCTGAAGGAGAGATGATAGACTCAAGGGACAGAACCAGACATGTATTTTTGGACACAACCAATGCAGAAATTTGTTTTGCTTAACTATGCATATTTGTTAAAAAGGTTTAGCTTTTCTTTTTTCAATTAGGGAGATAGAAAGGAGAAAAATAAATGCTTGTTAATTGAATAAAAAAGAAATAAAAGACTGGAACTCCCTGAATCAAAGTAGTTAGTGTCAGGTGATAAGGGGTTCCTCTGTCCAGTCTTTCCTGAGGTCCTATCTATGAGATCCCATAGGGAAGTCTGTCTCTCTATAGGGCTCCAACTTCCAGTGTCCTGGTCTGAAGTTCAGGACAGAGGGAACACTCACCTCATAACCCTTGAGTGATGGTCCCACCAGGATAATGGGCCTCATGGAAGGTACCACATCATAAGGGGGCACATGTTCCGCCTAAGGAAAAGGAAAAGGCCCTATGGTGGGGGGCAGCATTAGCCTCTTCTCCACCATCCTTGGGGCCCCCCTCAGTGATCCTTCCCTTTCCCACTCCCATTCCTTGGTCTCAGGGCCCATATGTGAAGAATGGAAGAGAAGGGAGGCAGTAGTGCCCATCCACTGGAATGGGTTAGGATGGAGCAGGTGGTTATTAGGAGCCCCACCCTCCTTGCTTTGTCCCAGTGGGGGTGGGAGGAGGCACAGAAAGTCATCTTACTTACCGATTTCTGCTTCTGTTTGGCTGGGTCCAGTGATTGCCAGCATGGGGTGGGGAAAGGGAGGGGGAAAGAGGGGGTACCCAGGCACAGGGGGCAAAGGACAAGGAACCAGGGGAAACAGGAGGGTTGTAGAGAGCAGGGTGGATGAGAAGAAATAACAAGGCATGCGTGTTAGTGACAAGCAGCTGAGGGAGAGGGGCAGGGACCCCACATGAAGGCAAGGCCCTGCCTGCCACTGGCCCCCGACTGAGACCCAGGGAATGGTGGAAGGATTCAATGTCCCCTACCACCAACTCCACACCTTTTTCCCCAACCTGGGGCTCTGAGATGAAGATGAGGAGGAAGGAAATGTTCTTATTCTTTTGGGGTTCTATTGGTTAGTGACCAAGAAAGGTCAACTAATGTTCTCTGAAATGGGTCCCTCGGAAAATCTGAAATGTTTATCTTCTACGCAGGAGGGTAGGAATGGGATTGAAAGTCCCATTGCCACACAAAGGTTGTGGGAGAGGGGAGAGAACTATGGCCTGTCATCATGGTCCCATCCTTTTAAAGGTTTAAAAGTGTTTCAAAGCATTCCATGCATAGAAATAGGGGACCATGTGATTATTGAAATAACTCCTTCTTGGACACGGCAGGTGTAGATGAGGATCTGAATTTGCTACACCCCCCCTTTAGAGACACCCTTCTCACACACCCCTTACTCCTTACCTCATACTCTCAAAGGATCAGGTTGGCATAGTGTCTGGGCAGGGGCCCATAGGAGTCAAATATGTCTCTTCCTTCCCTCCCCCCCGCAACCCCAGACCTATATTTCCTACTCCCTCCCAGTCTCTGCTACTCTCCACTAAAGGACACAGGGATGAATACAGAGAATGAATAGAATGACTACCTTCTTAAAGAAGGGGATTCGCTTGCCATGGGGAGACGGGGTGGTGATACTGCTAACACTAGGCTTAGGGGAGCCGGTCTGGTCGCAGAACTCAACTTCTTCCTCCTCTAATTCTAGGGGATCTAACTCGAAAGCTAAGTTAGTCATATCATTACCTGGGTCGGAGAAGGAGAAAGTGAGAAGGGGAGACAGAGACAGATAGACAGAAGGAGAATGCAGGAGAAAGAAACACCCGCCACACACACACACCCACACACGCATACACACACACACACACAGATAGACACAGAAGGTCATGGGTAGAACAGAATAGAAAACAGGGGTGGGGAAAGGGAAAAAAAAAGAGAAAGAAGAGGTGAATGAAAGGTGCTAAAGAGAATGAACATGGGATTGGGTGAGGGTGAGAGAAATGGTGCCACCAAAGAAATGGGAGGAGAGACATGAAGGGGGAGGGGTGGGTGGCAGGCATGGGGGTGGTGCTAACGTGCCCAGCCTGCTGACTCTCTTACCCTTTAATGGAAAGGGGAGAACCTTAAGTGGATGATGTGAACGTTAGGGGCGGGGCCAAGGAGTAGAGGGTACCGGTTGGCCTTTCCATTGTCTAGGTGCCAAAGGTTGGAGTGGTATGAGGAAAGGGAACTATTGTTATGGAGCTCCAGACTAAGATTCATCTCTCCAGGAAAGCTCCCTCCCTGTCACTCCCTGGTCCCCTGAGGAAGGGGAAGGCGCTCTTACCGCTGGCTGGCGGAGTGGGTCTTCGGGTGCCAGTCACGACATCTCCCAGACTGGAGCTGGAGTTGTCTCCCGATTTGCTGCAAGGGAAGAAAGATGAAGGGAATGAACTCATGAGCAAAGAATTCAGGGAACCATCTGTTAATAATAAATAATACAGGGATAGGGAATGGAATTGTGATTTCACTCATACAGGAAACTCTAATGGTACACATTGACAACTATGGTCTTAGAGCTGCCCCAAACACTGAGAGGTTAAATAATTTGAGCCCAGAGTCGCACAAACAGCATGTGGCAGCGGAGGGATCTGAAACCCAGGTCTTCCTGACTTGAAGGTCGGCTCTCTATGTGCTACACCATGATTCATCTTTTAAATGACAAGAATAGGACATTGAATAGAAAGAAATAACAGCAGGCTATCAACTTGTCCCAGGATTGTTTCTATCTGAACCCATCCAAAAGATTAGACAGCATAATAATGATAATAGATAAGATTCTAGGATGAGAAGAATGGGAATAATAATTACTATTTTGACAAGAATGAGAAGAATAGTTGACTTTTGGGAAGTCTGGACTTGTAATTTCATTGATGCAGTATGGTCTATGAACTCCTAGGGGTCCCTGAGACCCTTTCACAGGGTCTGCCAGGTCAAAATTATTTTGGTCAAAACTATAATAATACTTAGATCTTATGTGCCTATTAAAATAGTATTCCCTTTTCTAACTATATATTAATGTAAGCCTGGATTTTCTTCCTATACTTCAGCAAAAACAATATATCTCAACAGATTGAATGCAGAAATAGATAAGAGAATCCAGCTCTCCTATTTAGACACTAAAGAGACCTGAGAAATATGTGAAACTGTGATTCTTCTCACCAAATTTTTTTTGTTTTGTAAAAGATAGTTATTTTTCATAAAAATGTTTATTTATGTTAATGTATATACTATTATTTTCAATGAATGAATAAATGCATATTTTTAATGTGTCACTTTTAATTTCTAACATGATATATATTGGTAATAAAACCCATATAAACAGAAGCTCTTTGGAGTCCTCAATAACTTTTAAGAGTGTAAAGGGGTCTTGAGACCAAAAAATTTGATTGCCACTGGTGTAGAAAACTCAGTTTGAAAACTACCTCCACTGACAGGATCAGAAATTTGTCTGTAGCTTATACAGACTTGGAGAATTGCCTGGGGCACTGAGAGGTGAAGTGATTTGTGCGCAGTCACACGGCTTGAATGTATCAGAGGTTTCTGACTCTCAGGGCCAGTCTTCTAACCAGTAAGTCACTTTGTCCCTCAATAGCTGATGTATGGCACTTTAAAGGTTACAAACTGATTTATAGACATAATCTCATTTGACCCTTATGGTATGGTAAACCATTTTACAGATGAGGAAACTGAGACTTGGGAAACAGGATTTGATTTGTCCATGGACACCCAGCTACCAAGTATCAAAGGGGAACTTAGACCACCGTTTGGCACTCTAGCCCCATGACACCATGCTACTCTCTCCTTGTGTACCCTCTGCTTCCTGGACCCCAAGAACCATCGTGTGCCATGTAAACCCTGCTCCACATTTTGGACCTATTTGTCCAGTGTTTCGTTTCAGACTCTTCATGCAGTCCCCTAAACCTAATGCCCAGAGTACTGGGATAAAGCTTAGAATGAGCAATCATTGGGATATTATACTTACACAGGGACGCACAACCACAGACATACACACTCACTCTGGCCCCCCCCCCGGAAAGGTACCTGGAGCTGAGACGATTCTGACGCAGTTTCTGCTCCTGTACCATCCGTAGGCTGTCCAGTTTGACAGGGCTGGGGATGAAGCCTACCTCACAGCCCTCCTTCACCAGTCGTCCTATCCACCAGTCATTATTATACTTCTTCACATGCAAGGGAAAAGAGGTGGGGGAGGCTGAGGCAGATATTGGGAGGAGAGATTGACCTACAGTAGGATGACACAACAGCCTTCCCCCAAGATAGGGAGAATCCCTGCCTGTCACTCCTCCTTTCCTCTAGCTCATAAGAAATCCCTTCAACTCCCAGAACACTTCTAGCTTTAGTAACTCTGACCCATCTTAGCCTCCAAGGAGTTGCCCCTTAAAATGCATCTTCTAGTTCGCCTCCAATTTTGAAGACCTGCCAAGAACCAATCCCTTCCCTAAGTTCTACTTGACTGTCAATCTGAGCATCTGTGGATTTGCTGCTCAGGGCTCCTGTTTCTCTCTTTGCACTAATTCCCTTCTTCCCCCTTCCCCTGACCCTCTCACACCCCCACTTTACACTCGAATGTTTGTCACTCTGGAGAGCTCTACCCTCCCTACGTGACTACCCAGCCTTGCGGTCATTTTGCCCCACCTCATCTGTATGTGTGCCCCACTTTCTCTAGCCCCTACCTCCTTGATGTGCAGGAAGTCCTTGGGTTCAAAGGTGATAGCCATGCCCTGGACAGGCGCCTCATCCCCTCGTGATGGGTTGTAGCCCACATTTGTCCTCACTGCAAATGCCACTGGCTTGGTCTGGGCAAGAGTGAGGGAAGTATATAAAGCAAAGAGTGAACCTCCTCTTTCCCTGTCCAGAGAGCACCATTGTGCAACCACCTTTTGGAGGAAAGGTTTTAGATGGAAATTGAGGGTTGGTCAAGGAGAAAGTTAAACCTTTGGTGGGGATGGGAGCATAACAACCAAGCCAAAATATCTCTCACCCCTGAGCCTACCTTAGCTTTCTCAAGTTGTGCCAATGCCTGGCGCTCTGCCTCCTTCCTCAGGGCTTCCCTGTCCTCCTCTAGGGATACATCTGAGTCTGAGGGCCGACTGGTATAGGACTCTGCTGAGCCCTGGAAGTGAAAGAGAAGGACATCAGGGTAGTCTTTCCTCCTCCCTCAATTCCACAGGCCCCCCTCCCCCTGAGTGTTAAAGCTGCATTGAAAGCAGGTAAGGGGACCATAGAGAACCCAATCTGGAGATTTTCAAGAATAAGTCAGTTCCATGTAACACAACATAGGTTGGGAGGGCACTAGGAGACAAATGGGAGCTGGGCGCATATGGGGAGAGAGTTGAGCTGGGGAGACAGCCTTCTGAGGACTACTGGAACACTGGGATGTGAGTGACAGAGTGAGAGAAGCCAAGAAGACCTTGGACAGGAATAGGAGATACTGGGAAAAAGTGGTCAGGGTTAGGGTTGAATACCCAAGAGGAGAAGGACAGAGGCAGAAGAGCCATCGGACAGGGTTGAGGAGATCCTGGGGAAGAGTGATCAGGGTTAGATTTGACTACACAACAGAAGGCCAGAGGCTGGGGTAACATGAGGGCAGAAAAGAGTCACTAGGGTAGCAACCGTGGAAACACTAGGGAGAAGGAACAAGGATTGAGATAGAGGATGGGGAGAAAGGGTGAGGGGGTCAGGGTCACTGAGGGAAAGAGGTGGCACTCGCCTGGGCAAGATTAAGGTGAGGAACAGCTGTTCTGGGGGCCAACGGAGGGGAAGGGAACTTGATAGGGACACAAGCTCAGGGGAGCAATGCCAACATGCATGTCACTGCAGCCTCCTAGCCCTCCCTCCCTTCTGTGTATCCCCTCCCTCCAGTTGAGTCTGACTAATTCATATCACCCATGGCATACTTGCCAGCCAACTACAGCTTGCCCAGCCCTGGAATTGGGCTCACTGCACTGCTAGAAGTGGGTGCCCTAGCCCAGCATGGGGAACCTGGTTGCAACAGATGCCAAAAAAGCAAAATTGTACTGTTTCCTGTTTATTTGAGGGGCAGAATCAGAACTTTTCCTTGCCCCACCCCCTCCAACCTGCCACCATGACCAGGCCCTTCTGCCCACTGAAGTCATCTTTCTGGTTGGCATTGTTGGGTATCATCCCAGAGACCCAAGTGCCTTCTTTGAAGGCACTCATCTCTTCCATCATAGCCCCCATCCCCTCATTCGGCATTGTTAAGACACAAGGGCTTCCCAGAGAGTGCACATTGAAGAAGCAAGTCTGGAACAGATGTTAGTGGCAGCCTCCCACCTATAGGAGGATTCCTTGCTTTATGGGTCCTAAGATGGAAAAAAAACATTGAACACTTCTAAGGATGCAGGGATGAGGGTACAAGAATGTTCAAACTAAGGTGTACCTGTCCTAGAAGCTGTGCCCAGCTGGGTGGTGGTAATGACTAGAATGCTCAGTACAAATCAGAATATTTTTCTGTATACACCCATGATTATTTGACTTCATATTTATGTGACTGAATGAATGTTTCTATATGTGCATGTATGAGCACAACTGTGTATTATGAAAGAAAATGAGAGATTGAGACAAAGAAAGAGAGAAGGAAGGAAGGAAGGAGGGAGAGAAAGAGAGACAGCAAGAGAGAATGAGAGAGAGAGAATGAGAGAGAAAGAATGTGAGAGAGAGAATGAGAGAGAGAGAAAGAGAATGAGAGAGAAAAAGAGAGAATGAGAGAAAGAGAATGAGAGAGAGAGACAGAGAAAGACAGAGAGAGAGAGAGAGAGAGAGAGAGAGAGAGAGTGCACTGTGTGGATGCTTGCAGCCTGTGTGTGCTTCTGACAGTGTGTGCCTGATTGTGTTACTGCTTGTGGGTGTGTGAGTGAGGGGAGCAGTGAGGGTTGGTTTTGTGCCTGTCTGTGAGGGGGTGTTTGAACAAGGGTGGGGTATATTGCTGTGAAGGTGGTCAGAGCTGGAAGAAACCTTTTCTCAGTCTGTCTCAGAAAGCAGGAAGAGGTTCTACCTGCCCAGGATGGACCTTTGGCTCTTTCTGGGGAGGAATAGGTCTGGGAAGTAGGGGCAGAGGGAGAGAGAGAGTGAGAGTGAGGGGATGAGGAGGAAAGAGCCAAGCTGATCCTAGAGAAGAGGTCCAGGCAGTGAATTAACTTAAGTGATGGATAGAATGGGTCTAGATAGTGAAGGGATTTAAGAGATAAGCATGAAAGGAGAAGTGAAAGGAAGAAAAAGACCCCCCTCTTCTCATATCCAGTCAATATACTACTTAATCAATCAACCCCTCCCACATAGACAGCAAAAGTGGAGGGAACTAGGTGAAGGGGGAAGACTAAGCATAGAAGAGTGAGGAGGGAAAAGGCTAGACAAGAAGACTGGAGAGGGGTAATTCCAGATATCTACCTTCACCCTCCCCCTTCCTGAACACCTCCCCTCAAGATTGGGCCTACTCAGAATGGAAGAAAGAGACACAAAAAGAGAACCAGAGATGAGGAGAGACCAGAGACACAGGAAGATACATTTAGAAACGGACAGACGGGAGGAAAGGAAATGGGAAGGCCAGGGTGAAAGGAGACAGGTCATCCACACCAACCCCTCATCTCCCTCTGAGCCCCTCTGAGGGTCTGCATGCACCCACACCCCAGTGCTCACCACCATGGCCTGTCTGGTCTGGCCGGGTGTCTCCATGTTGGTGCCCTCTCTGCCCATCCCCTAGGGATGGGCAGGAGCTGCCCAAGCTGCCCGCTCCCACCAGGGGGCTCAGGTTACAGGCAGAGTTGCTACATTTGCAAACTGCTGGGGTATATTTAGCCCAGAGACACAGCAGGAACTGGGCACCCTCTCCTACCATGAGTGGGGTCAGGGAATGGGGAGGAGCTGGAGAACTGGGGATATGGTGTGTGGGTATGTGCATAGGGACAATCCTGAGTCCCCTGGTTTAGCAAACTCTGTAAGACCTGAGAGTTTTTTTCTACCAAAAGGTACAACATGGGGTACAGTTTCATCTTATATCCCAGCACTGGCCTAGCTTTGCAGTAGGAAAACTGACCAACAAAAACTTCCCCTTGTTGAAGGGATAGAAGACCCTGAAATGAAGGTTTACCTCCCAACCTATTGTCTGTGGTAGGTTCTGGGTCCATGATAGGACAACCTGTTATAAGGGAGACAGGCAGGAAACAGACAAGAAGACTGCCTTGAACTGCAATGAACCTCACTGGACTCAATCCTCTCCTGGACTCAGGAGGGAGTGACCTCTGGAAGTATATCCCATCCCTTCTCATGTGTTCCTACCGGCCATTCACCCCCTCTCCGTTCGCCAGCAGCGCTCCGCCCTCCACCCCCCACCCCCAGCATCAGGAACTCTGCCATTGGAGCACCATCTATTCTGGGTACCAGGTCCTTGTCAAGATGCATGGTTGCCATGACAACTGCATCGCCTTTCTTACTGCTTCTCACTGGGGCCTGGGTTTGGTTGGTTGGAGTTGGGGGTGGAACAAAGTGGGCTGTGAGGAAGGGGAGCAGAGTGAAAAGAAGACCCATAAACTAGCTTTTCCAATGTTGTTCATCACACCATAGCCAAGATTTCTGGTTTAAAGCCCTCTGCCTCCAATTTCACTGCCTCTCCACTCTCAGCACTGCCTCCTCCCATCCCCAATCTATCTCTCCTCAAAGAAGCTGTGTAGACAAATTTCCTCTAGCTATTTTCAGATCAGAGTTTTCCAGGGTGTCCTCCCCGGTCCCAGGGAGACCTCTCCCCCTATTCCTTCCCTCAGTCTAAAGACTACCAGTGAGGTGGAAAATAGACAGGAGGAAAATAGGCAGAGTTAAAAGCCTGTTCTACCCGAAGGAAGGCAAGGTGTCCCTAAATCTAAGTAACCAAGATGTTCAGGGGTAGGTGCCAATGGAACTGACTACAGGATGGGGGTTATAAATCCGTGCCATAAATGTGACCCAAAGAGTCTAGGCACCATCAATAGTACACCTTGAGCAAAGACAGAAGAAGTGTTGGGATGGAGGGAAGCTGCCAGACTAGCACCAAACGGCATCTCTAGAAGCAGAGGACTAGGGTAGGCAGGCCCACTTCCTGATTCCAAACCAAAGTTCTCCTCTAGGACTCTCAGACCACTGCCCTCCATTCTCATCCCCCAACCTCTGCCACTTACCTGGCGGACAAAGCTGTTAGATGTGGTGTCAGAGGAGGTGCTGCCATCCGAGCGTTTAAACCGTCCCTTCCTTTTGCTGTACTTGCCCTGCTAATGGGGGACAATAAAGGCAAAATCAGAGGAAAGTCTACTCACTATTCCCCAGACCTGACCAAGATTTGTAACTACAAATTCCCTTTCTTCCTATTAGCCTTCTCCTCTACTCCCCACCCCATATCCTCTTTCCCAGGTGGTATGGCCTGAGAGGGTCCCCTTCTTCCTGAAGGCATGGACCAGGCCACAGCCATTTGCTGGGATATGGAGGTGGGGCTGGGGGATGCTAATGAAACATAACACATTCATGCTTGGGAGATCAGGACGAAGGAGCAGAGGAGCCGCCCCAACTCCCCAGAGCTGGAGCCAGTGTCTAGTTAGCTGAAAAAAGCTAATTAAGATGCTGTGCAGACTTCAGCAGCCTTTGGGAAGATGGGAACTCTGGCCTGTGGTTATGGGGGAGTGGAGAGAGATGGAGGAGAGTGATCTCTCCCACAACTCCCCCCGCAGTGGGAATGCTCTGCGTGTGTCCCCCAGAGAAAGGAGAAATTGAAAACCCAGTGTGCAGACTCACCAGCAGGCTCTTGGGAAAATCCTTTTCTGGATTTTCCTGTAACTGTCCAACTCCTCATCAGAACAGTATTCCCTTCTCCCAGTTCTTCCTGGGAGCCAGGAGTTGGGGAGATGAGGCTCAGATAGGAAGACTTTGGGAAACAGGGAATCAGACCTAAAGTAATCCTTAGAGATGCAACTGGGGCCTTGAGGGGGAAGGGGTGTAGGAGGACTAGGGATCTGAATTGGGAAGAAGGTGGCTAGCTTGAGGATATGAGAAGTTCCAACCACTACTGAAAAACAATATCCCCTCCATACCCCACATAAGAAGTGGAGCTAAGGGGCCACTGAGAAAGTAAACAAGCCAACTGGGACTCCACCTCCATTGGTAGCATATTTCCTCTCCCATCCTAATTTGCCAGGCCCTCCATCCACTGGCAATGAAAAGTCCTCAGTATAATTCCCTGCATGCCCAACACATATCCCAAACTCCATAAGGAAAACATTCCTCACCCTACACCTCATCCCACTTCTAATATCATCTTTCCAAAAAATTTTTCATTCCACCTTTCATGTTGCCCAGCATGTCACCATTTCTCATGTCCTGCAAGATGCCCCCTCTCCCTTTGGTCCTCTATCCAGATCTGGACCAGTTGGAAAACAGAAACCCTGTGACATATCCCTTCAACACTACCATGGAGGGGCACAAGATGGCTCGGTTAGGGCTAAGACTCTCCCACAGTCACAAACTTAGTGTGGGAGACAGGACTACTTTGTGTAGTAAGAGGGTTTCTCTCTCCCCCTTCCCAAAATGGGACTAATCTAAAACCCTCCTTCTGACCTACCTTCCATAAAACCACACAAATACCTCCCCTGTTTTGCAGTGGTTAAGGTAGCAATACTCCGGCCCTATGCTCCCCCAAAGAGTAGACAATACTATCCCATCTACAGTGGAACAGGTCATATGGTCATACAAACTTAGCTGGAGTCAGGAAGACCTAGATTTGAATCCCATCTCAGATACTAACTAGATGGATGACCCTTAGCAAGTCACTTAACCTCTCTGGGCCTCAAGTTTCTTCACATGTAAAATAATGAAGCTGGGCTCATTGACCTCTAAGGTCCCTTGAGTTTTAAATCTAGGATTCTATAACAACCTTAACCTTTGGAGGAGGAGAGGACTAAAGTGTCTAAATAGCAAGTCCCAAGGAGGGGTGGGGATATTTTGGGGGAAGGGAGCATCTAGACACTCCCTAAAGAAGTTCTGGGACTCAAAGTACTTTCCTATCTCCATCAACCACCACCACTCCTAAGAGACCACTCTCCAGGGATAAGCCTAGAGAGGGAGGAAAGTAGAAGGAATCTACTCATAGACTTTCAGAGCTGAAAGGAACCTTAAGGAGCATCTAATCCATCTTTCTCATGTTACAGATGTTACAAATGAGGACACTGAGGCCCAGAGAGGAAAATTGACTTGTCCAGGGTCACACAGTGAGTTAATAAGGAGCCCTCACCTCCTCCCTGACTTGTCCCCCACCCCCACCACAGGCAAAGGAAGTAGGGAGTGGCATGGAGGAAAGACAGGGGACAGCTGAGGAGAAGGCCCAAGCCAGCTGCCTCCTGGCTCCAAGGGGCCTAGGGTGGGAGGTGGGGGATATTTTTAGGTCTCACACCCATTGAACCACATTCCCACAAAGAAGGCCAACAGCAAAGGAGAGGTTAATGTTACCTCCCCTCTTCAGTTTTAGAGACCTGGGGAGCTGGGGAAAAGGATGGGAAGAGGCAATTATCACTGGGTTCAGGGCTGAAATAGGGAAATTCCTAGTCCTGGTAGCTGCTCAGCTTGGTACTGCCCCCTTGTGCCCCACTGTCCAGATTAGGGGTCTCCATCACACCAGGGAATGCCTCACTTTTGCGGGGGCAACTTGCCTAGTAATACATAGCAAAACTCAGGAAACTGTACATGCATGTGTGCATGATGGGGGTGTTAGAAATACCCCCTCTCAGGTGGTTTTGTTCCTCCTATCCCCCATAATGGGTTGGCATTTGCCCAACTTTCCAAACTTTGGGGTGCCTTTGATGGCTCTGGGAAATCATAAGTCTGTATTGGGGTAGTCTGTGTCCAGGGGCAGGGTGTTGATTGAAAGTTGTGGGGGGAGGAGAGGGGAGAGAAGCCCTTGTCTAAGATTAGTAATGGGAAGACCAGAGTAATCCCTAGTCAGGAGCTGAAATGGCCTGGTAGTGCTGATTCCTGCCCCACTGCCCAGGTTTGGGGCCTCCATCACCCTTAGTAGCTGTCACTTGGTAGCAACTTATTCACTAGTCTGCCCCTACCCTGCCTTAAACCATCTTAGATAATTGGTGCCCCCGGGCTGTGATGTCCAGTCGACACCATCCTCAGCCCTTAAACCAGCGCCTTAAATCAGAAGCAGTGCTTCTGCTGTCTTCAGAGCATCCTATTCATCTCCCTGCCTGCTTCCCCCAGCTGCTCCCAGAAAGCTACCCCCCCCCACACCAACTGCCTCTCCAGCCTCCCTTCCTATTCCCTCCCCCGCCCCCCCCAAGCCAATCCCTTAGATTTATAAACCAGCCCTTGGGGCCCCTATAGCAAGGACCCCCTCCCCACACACACAGATACACAGACACACAGACACACAGACACACACACAGCCTGTACTGAGAATGGTCAGAGCACCAGGAGGAAAGAAGGTTAACAGCAGGGACCCTTGACACCAACCCCCTTTCTATTTCCCCACCTCTGCATCTATCTGCCTCAGTGCCAATCACCCATCAATCATTAACCCATCGGGGTTAATGGGGGAGGCACCGAACAGCACCCCCACTTTAGCTCCTTTGGGCTTAACTCCTTCTTCCCTGGCATCCTCTCTCGGGTTGGCCAGAGCTCCCGAGGTCTTTCAAAGAAGAGGTCCCTCTGGACCTTTCCTGGATCTGTTTGCCTTCTTCCCCCACCAGCCTCCCCCTTCTCTGCCAGGCAGCCATCCCCCACCCCATATCTCACCTGTAAACTGGGGTCGAAGACCTCCATCGGGATATCCTGGGTGGGTGGATAAGAGGCCCGAGACATACTGGTCTTTTGTACCATGGAGAGGCCCCCCCACCCCGCCCCAGCCCCAGCTTCAGCCTAGCCCAGCCCAGCCCAGCCCAAACCGGCTCACTCACAGCTCATGGGAAAATCCAGTGGAAAGAAGAGACACCCAGCCTCCAGATGCCCCTTTCCCTCCCTCCCTCCCTCCCTTCCAACGCCTCCTACTTCTCCTCCGCCCCGGGAGCCTCAGCATCTCCCCCGCCCCAACCCAGCTTGCTCCTCCTTCCTGGCCCCTCCCCTTGACTCCCCCTCCGTCCCCCCCACCCCCAGCTCCTCTCCTAGACAATGAGCAGGCAGCCTGAGGCAGACACGCCCCTCTTGGCGCTACTGGGGCTGAGCTATAGATGAGGGCCTTTTGCCAATCTTGGCTGGTGAGGGTGGGGAGGGGGCAGGTGGAAAGGACTTGAAGGCTGAATCTAGAGGTAGCCTGTGTGTACGTGTGTGCTCGTGTGTGTGCGCCTCCTTCTCCTTTGGTGTCAGGGTAAGCAGAGGCTCATATCTGAGGATTATTAAGGGGAAATTTCAGATTCACCTTATGCCCTGCAGTTCTCCTACCCGGCTACCTCACTTCTTGGTGCTTTCTTCAGGACCCAGCTCCTCTTTTTAAATCTCCAACTTTCTTATTCAGTCCTTGTATTATAGACCCTTCCTGAGTGTTGGAAGGCAAATCCTAAGTCTCTCAAGAGCACTAGATTTATAATTCAAAGATCTGAGTTCTAATCTTGGTTCTGCTCTTACCTGACAAGTCATTTCCCCTCTTTGGGTCTCAGTTTCCACAAATATAAGATGATGGAGTTAGTGAATCTACCCTAACTGATTGCTGAGTCTGGAAGTGAAGGGTTTTATTGGGAGAGTTCCTTTTGGAAGGATCTGAGAAGGAAAGGACTGGAAGTGGGGTTAAAAGAAGCAGGAGGTGTAGTGGAGGGATGACTGTCTCAAGGGCAAACAACAAGAGATTCCTGAGATCCAGGCATCTTTCCTGCCTACTCAGCTAGTTTACCATTCTATTGGGACTAAATTGAAAAAGCAAAACGGAAAAGACCAAGGAGAAGGCAGAGCAAGGTTCTCTTCAAGACTGAGTAGAGGGCAAGAGACGAGTGAAAAAAGTTTGGAGAGGGTGGCAGGAGAGAGAAAGACTCACTCATTATAAGAAAAGATCTAACCTTTCTGTGCCTCAGTTTCCTCTTCTGAAAATGAGGGTTAGACGACATACTTTCTAAGGTCCCTTTCAGCTCTGAATCTCACTATCTGATGATCTTTGATTTGGGGCACAAATTTGGGCAGGGCAGCTGAGAACCCCAAACCACCACTCCACTTGAGGAAGAAAGTGGTGGGAAGTGAAATAATAGTTTGCCTGCCTCACAGGAAAGAATTTTGTAAATTGTAAAGTCCTGTGTAGGTGAGATCCATAGTGATGATTGTTTTTGGTTTTTTTTTTTTTTTTTTAGGCAAGTGGGGTTAAGTGACTTGCCCAGGGTCACACAGCTAGTAAGTGTCAAGTGTTTGGTCTGAGGCCACATCTGAACTCAGATCCTCCTGATTTCAGGGCCGGTGCTCTATCCACTGTGCCACATAGCTGCCCCCGTAATGATGATTGTTATTGTAGAGTATGGGGCCAGAAGGTCAAGGGATGAGAAAGATAGACAGGTGGTGGATGGAAGGGTCCCTTCACCCTAAACAGGGTAGGTAAACATAAGTGATCTCTTTTGAATTTCATAACAATCTCAAGATAATTGCTTCAGGTATTATCTCCATTTTACAGATGAAGAGACTGAGGCTCAGAAAGGTTATATAACTTATCTATAGTAACAGTAAGAATCGGAGGCAGAATTTAAATCCAGGACTCCCTGACTTCTAACCACCCATCACGCCATCTGCTATATCACAGTGCTTCTAGTTCCCTGTTTCTAATTGCCTCTTCTCTCTGTTCCTCTACAGAAATGCTATTCAGATGCCTCAAATACTCTGCCCCACAGGATAGGCTCTGGGAAATCATGTCAAGCTGGAAAGTCTTCAAGCCTGGCTTCAGTAAGGGATTATATATCTGGTGTCCAAGGATCACCAAGCTAGGTCCAAGCTAGATGTCCAACCTAGCTAAGCATGTAGAGGTTCATTATCAGATTGGTGTCAGTGATGGGTTTTGTTTTTTTTTGTTTGTTTGTTTGTTTGTTTGGCCAAACAAACTATTCAAGGTTGTCTACTAATTTCATAGAGATGTTGAAATCTGTATGTACACCATTGGACTATAGCCTTCTGGAGGGCAGGGACTTCGTCATCTTTCAAAGATAAAAGATTTGTTTTCTTTGAATCCCTAGAGCCTACCACAGTATCTCCTGTAAATGAAAGGGTCTTAATAAAAATGGATTAATTTAATTAGCAATTATGTGATAACTGAATAGCAGTCACAGAATTTGGGGAGTGGGGGTGGGGAGGAAGGACTAATCCCCACTATAACAAATCCAACAAGTGGCCATCCAGCCTCTACTTGAAGACCTCCAATGAAGGAGAATCCTCCAGCACCTGAGGTATCCAGCTCCACGTTTGGATAGTTCTCATTATTAGGAAGTTTTTCCTAAAATCAAACCCAAATTTGCCTTATTGCAAATTCTACCCATTGATCCTGGTTCAACCCTTTGGGGTCCAACAAAACATGTCTAATCTGTCTTCTAGAGCAGAGCTTAGCACATAGTAAATACAGAATAAATGCTTTAGCATTTATTCTTTCACAAAAACTTTTTAAGATCTTGAACATGGAGTTTTTCCTGGAGTCTTCTCTTCTCTAGGCTGAATATCCCCAGTTCCTTAAAATGCTAACTAAATGATATGAACTCAAGGACCTTCATCATCCTAATTGTCTTCTTTTGCGTCACTTCCAGTTTGTTAATATTCTTCCAAAACTGTGGCACCCAAAACTGAACACAATATAATCAGGCCAGAGCAGAGTAAGTAGAAACTATTTACCTCCTTATTTCTGGAAGCCTGCCTCTTCATCTAGCTCATCACATCCGCTTTTTTAGCTTCCACATCATGATGCTGACTCATATTGAATTTGCTAAAACCCCCAGATCTTTTCCAAACAAAGATCTGGCTAGCTGTGCCTCCCCCAACTTCTAGCTTCTATTGTGAAATTGATTCTTTGAACCCAAGTGTGAGACTTTACATTTATCCCTAGTGAATTTCATCTTATCAGACTCAGCCCAGTGCTGGAGCCTTTCAAGATGTCTTTGATCTTTACTCTATCACCCAGGGTGTTATTTCTCTCTCTCAGCTTCATGTCATATGCAAATCTAGTGAATGTGCCACCTATGCTTTTATCAGTCATAAAAAAAAAAAAGTGAAACAGCATAAATACACTGGAGACCATCTGCCAAGTTAACATTTAAGGTGGAATGGCTTGGAATGAGAAAGCTGTTGTCACAAATGGAAGCTTAGTGGCTTTTTTTTTTTATGGTAGTAAGAATTGGAAACTAATGGAGTGCCCATCAATTGGGGAATGGCTGAAGAAGTTATGGTATATATAGGTGATAAAACACTGTTGTGCTACAAGAAATGATCACGGAAACAGTTTTGAAGAAACCTGGGAAGACTTGCATGAATTGATGCAAAGTGAAGTGAGCAGAACCAGGAGTACAATTTTTATAATTATGCAATATTGTAAAGATAAATAACTTTGAAAGACTTAGAAACTCTCATCAATACAAAGACCAACCACAATTCCAGAGGATTCCAGATGAAACATGTTACCCACCTCTTGATAGAGAGTAAAGATTGAGACTTTTTAGGGGGAGTGGGACAGGGGGCATGGGATATGGTCAATGTGGGAATTTCGTTTGCTTGACTATTCTTGTTTATGACAAGGTTTTTTTGTTTTTGTTTTTGTTTTTTTTACTTCTTGATTGGTGGAGGAGGTAGGTAGGGGAAGAGAATGTGGATCTGAAAATAAAATTTAATATTAAAAAAAGGCTTTGGATTCTTAGTGAAAAACCATATGATCAATGATTTAGAGCTGAGAAGGATATTAGAAGTGATATAACCTGCGAGGAAGCTGATTGAGAAAGAAAGCAGCTTACCTTAGTTTTCATAGGGAAGATCTGGGATTGGAACTCAAGTTTTGAGACTCTAACTCTGCTGGGTTTCCTACTGCACTAGTACATTGCTGGCATGTTGCTTATTTTTAGCCCTCTTGCATCTCAAAGGACTTTAACAATGATTCTCTTGAGTCATCTTCATTGTAGCCCCCAGGTGAGGTCAGGCATGCATTATTTCTGCTCATTTAACTTCCATACTTCAAGAATCAGTGATCTGTTGCTCTTTCATGGTAAGGGTTATCTTCTTTTCCCCCTTTAGTTTAGCAAACATTTATTAAATCTTTACTGTGTAGAGGACATGGGGAGGAAACAAAGTTTGGATAACACATCAGGTCTCGGCCTTCAAGAAGCATGTAGTCTACCTCTGCTAGAAGAATAAGATATAAATACAAAACCCTCATATACAACAATAAGTTCATTGGAGAGATACAAAACGTATGAGGTCTGAAGAAAAAGGTCATTAAAGTTACATATCATTTTACCTAATTGAAAGTAGCATGTAATTCATAGAGAGAACAGTATGGAGTAGTAGGCAGAGGGTTTCTGCATTGGAGTTGAGAAACAATGCCTATACCCCTTGTGTCAACCTTGGGCTAGGTCAGGAGTGGGGAACCTGCAGCCTTGAGCTCTAGGTCCTCAGGTTTGGCCCTTTGACTGAATCCAAACTTCACAGAACAAATTCCCTTAATAAAAGGATTTGTTCTGTAAAACTTGGACTCAGTCAAAAGGCTGTACCCAAGGACCTAGAAGGCCATAAGTGACCTCGAGGTCAAAGGTTCCCCACCCCTGGGCTAGGTACTTAACTTCTGAGTGCCCAGAACTATATTTATAGATGAGCTGCCAATCTACACCAATGGAGGGAGGTTCCATACTAGGAATTCCACCCAAGTTGATGGACTCACAAGAGGG